CGGGTGTGTTTGTTCACCCTATTTATTATCATTTGAAATTCGTAAAAAAGAGAAATTTTGATTCTCACTCAAACATAATGAATTCTTAACCACATAGGATTGAGATTAAGAAAAGAAATGCATGTGAAATTTTCCTTCAAATTACTTCCTTTGCCACATTCACTATTGGATATTAGTCAAATACGACAAACACCAATCCACATGAATCTATAAGATATATGATGGAGATTCATGACTCAACTTTCTTCCATTTCAAATTTTCTGCAACGAGAGTGAAAGTAGGAAGGGTACTTTCGTCATTGCAATTGTTTATTTTTTTATTTGAAAAAAATATCAGTGTCAAGATTTGAACCCGGGTCTCTTCTAACAAGGACAAGAGTCATAACCAATAAGACTAAACAAATTTGTTGCATTTATTTATAAAAAAAACATACAAGAGGCAAAATTCTGAAAATCAAATGACTTTTCCAGCACAGTTAGCTACCCCACTAAGTCTTTCTTAAGCATTTTTAGTGTTGGATCTTTGATTATCATTTATTATTATTTTATTTTGACTTCAATAATAATGGTAGTCTATCTTATAAATGGAGGATAATCTTAAAACCGCAATCCAAATATCATTTATTCGAATATTGCATATCAAATTACAATATTAAATATATATGTGCACACACAACCACATATATATGGGTCAGACTGGTGTACTCCTGGAGTATATTATACTTCAGGTACTCTTCGTGAGATATCTCTATCTAGACCATGATTTTTAACCGAGTTTGGGGTATGATACTCTACCCTAACCTCTAATGGATAAACCCCAGGCCCCGATTCTCTAAACTCAAACCCAAAGTTTAATTTAATGGAAAATTATAATTGACCATTGAGATTGATTGGAGCTCAACAAAGTACATCTAATGTCTAGATCATGTGTAGTATACTATACTCTTGGAGTATACCAGTATACTATACTCCTGTAGTATACCAGTATGTGTGTGTGTAGTGTTTTCTATCATATTTTGAGTAAAATCAAAAGGTAACTCATACCCTTGGTAAGATATGGCAATCTAGACTTTGAATTAACCTGATTTCGAGACGAGACACTATATTCTAACCCTTGACGAGTGAACTCTAGGTCTTAACTATTTAAATCATAGATCCTAAACCAAGGATTATAAAACCTCATCAGAGGTTGTACCGAAAAAGTCGGCAGGAGGGTATTTTATGCGAAAACTGTGGTTAACCGTGATTCAGTCGTTTCACAACACTACATAGTGCCTACTGGTTTAGTCGAACCCCCGGTACGTTAAGGGTTTTCAATCCTTGCCCTAAACACTAAGATTATGCACATAATTTTTTTGATGTATTTTGATGAAACACGACCTTCGATTATTGTTTCTAATAAAATTGATCTTAGTATATGAGCTTCATAGAATTAAGACCTAGATTTTAATCTGTAAGGGCTTAAGGTATAGTACCATGTCCCTAGCTCCGGCCACTAGACATCATTTTCATACTCAGAGTATATCATTCAAGGTCTATATAGCATTTCCTTATGTCATTTTCTTAATCAAAATATGATAGAACCACCCATACTTATAGTTGTGTTATCCTGCTGGAAAGTCATTTGTTCTAAATGTTAGTTGGTTGGACTGCAGTTTTATCAGGGTTGTATGTTGTTTGAAACATTTTGAACTTAATTAGTCCAATATTTTTAGTACTCCTATATTATTTAGGGATAATATCCTATTTTGTGTTGAACTTTGATGTAAATAACAATTTTGGCATGAACATTCAAATAAGATAGTTTTGTCCGAATTTGAAAGAAATTAACAAATTTGGTCGGTTATTAATATTGAGGGTCAAACATTTCTTTTTTTTATGACTCAACATACAATGTTAAGGTGACTGTGGTGTGACTTTCACGTCATAGGTATAATATGCTATTTTGCCCTACACTTTCAAATAAGACAGTTTTGTACGAATTTTCAAAGAAATGAATAACTTTGACCCAAAATTTAGGTTGCCGTTAATATTGATGAGAGGGGTACAAAGAGAGATAGCTTCGTGCTTTGGGATTTTTGGGGGCCTGAATCAATTTCTTTTTCCTTTTAATATGATTTATGCAAGTAAATATGAAAATATTAGGATATACTAAGGGTCCTATTTTGTGGTCTTTTTTTCTTCTGAAAAATTCACTTTTTTAGACTTTATAAATAAATGACTTGGAAGCCACATCGCAACCGAAACCTCTCTATCACAACTGTCAATATTAAAGGTCAACCCAAATTTCGGACCAAATTTGTTCATTTCTTTCAAAGTGCAAACAAACCTATCTTATTTGAAAATTCGAGCCAAAATTGTCTTTTACATCAAGTTCATGCCAAAATAAGGTATCATCCCTATGACATGGAAGCCACATCGCAATCGCAACCACCTAAGCATTGTATGTTGAATGGATGAAGAAATTTTTAACTTTTAATATTAACGAACAACATAAATTTCAGTCCAAATTTGTCCATTTCTTTCAAAATTTTGAAAAACTGTCTTATTTGCAAGTTCATGTCAAGTTTGGCTTTTACGACAAACTTCAAGGTCAAAATAAGGTATATCCCTATTATTTATGGTCAACTTACCAATCAAAGTAGTCAGTGAAAGTATCAGCAACACTGACAAAGACAAACATATGTAATTCAAAATTAGTTGCACTCAGCCTTAAGTTTGAAGCTCTCTTGAGAACCCGGACTATTTTCTAGGCATCTTCGGGGACTACGACTAGCATGCTTCCAAACCAGCTGATCCTTATTCTACTTTCTATGAAGAGGAATAATATGGGTGTATCTGTTAGACATTAATTAGGGTTACAAATGATCTCATTCCTAAAATCTGTTAGAGACCAATCTTTTTCTTTCCTTCTGAGGGTTCATTATGTATGTTTTAGGAAAAACAACTCTAATCTTGAACTATTTGCCATTTTTAAGTATTGAAAACCTATTATTTTGTATGTTTTTCTTTTCTTCTTTGAACAATTATATTTCTTTTTTCAGTGATATGTCGTATCTTCCTATTATATTGTAAGCATGTTATATGAACATATTTTTTGTCTAGACTTTCCCGGCCAAGGGGCCGGGCCCGGTGCTAGTACTATTTAGAGGTCAATGATCGGACTCAATAAAGGAGAATGAAACTGTCCCAACTCCCACGTAGAGAATAAGATCAATGAGAAAAAGGATATGTCAAATTTTTCTTAAATTACCTTTCTTTTCTATATTTAGGGTCGTTTGGAGAACAAGATTTGGATGATGAATTTATTGAATCTATAGATTTAGCAAAATATTATATTTTTTTTGTTACTTTTTTATCGTGGATCATAGATTTAGAGATTTTAAATCTTTAAAATCTAGAGATATCAAATCTCTTCTGATTAGAGAGATTCTACATCTTGATTTTAGAGTTTTCACTCTCTTACTCTTTCTTTTCCTTTTTTTTTTAATTTATCCCACTAAATATCCTTATTGATAAATTTTGTCAATATTTTTTGAGCTATTTAATTATTTTGGTTAAGGATAAACATGTCATTTTATAAACAAATATAATATTTTTACTGTATGTTAACAATCGCAGTTATCAAATAATGAACATTTTCAAATCTTTTTTCAACAATCTGGAGAGTTCATTTGGATTGTTTAGAATCTAGAGATTTAGAATCTAATTCTCCAAATAAGCCCTAGTGTAATGTCTATCTTTTATCCAGATTTTTTTAGATTCTTGTATATTATTCAAACTTATTAAAATTCTATTAATTAGCCAAATTTTTCGTAATGCATCAAAATATTATACATTTTTACGTTATCGTTAATAATGTTATAACTCTTTTCTTAGCTAAAATACTAAACTTTTGCAATGTTGACATTCATGTGTCTCTTACAAGTCAGTATCATATTGTCAAATCAATATTACTAGCAAAATTGCTATCGTGAAGTTAACATTTGGCTAATTCTTAGAATTTCCATTTGGCTAATAAAAAAGAATTCAAAAAAAGTTTGGCTAATAAATAATAATTACGCATATATTTATTATCATTTGAAATTCGTGAAAGAACGACAAACTCTAACTCTTACTAAATTAGAATGAAATCTACCTCATGTGGGGTTTGAGATTGAGGAGAGACAAACATGTGAAATATTCCCGAAAGTTACATCGGTTGCCACATTCTCTATTAGAAATTTGTCAAATCCGCCACATATCAACTAACATGAATATCCAATAAATTAAAAAACCATCAAAACGAGCACATAATCATGTCGATACCAGCCACGGATTATGCAAAAATAGGCCACAATTAAAAGACAGACACAATCAATGCTGAACATGTAATTAGTATTGTAATAGTGCTGAGGTTAAAGGAAATGATGAAAGGTGAACATATAGTACACAAGTGACGAGTCAGATATGTACGAATAGCTAGCAGGTAGACTTTCAATTTTAGTTTCCGCGCTGGAAATTAGATCCGGAAATGCTCTGAAATGCTCTTGTCGGAATCCTCTGAAATGTCAGACCCCTCGGTCAGAATCACTCAATCTGGACGGCCGCCGGACACAGCCCCATCTCTGACTACTTCAACCGCTATGACTACTGTTCCATTGATAAACAACCCCGCTATTCCGGCATGTGCAGATGGGGATGATCCGATGATCTCCACGGAGAAGGAAGGATCTGAAGGCAAGACGGCTTCCTTACCGCCCACATATGCCGGTGTGCTAACCGGAGTGAAGGCCTTGGCAAACCCCCACCCTGCGGCCAAGCAATGGCTTCCGGTGGGAGAACACAATCTGATTCCTGGCGAACACCTTGGCGAGCCTGCTCTCCAAGTCTCCCCCAATTTCAAAAGTCGTCTATGTGCGCCTTGGCAAAGAGCTCTGCTAGTTCGGTTAATGGGCATCAAGGTTGGATACAACACGCTCTGCTCACGCCTTCGGTCACAATGGCGGCCGATTGGATCCATGGAGGTGATGGATCTAGACCATGATTGCTTTCTTGTCAAGCTTGATAATGAACAGGATTATTTCAAGGCCCTCACTGATGGACCATGGACCATATTCGATCACTACATTCTGGTTCAGCAGTGGAGTCCTCGTTTCAAGACTTCTGATCCCTTACCAAAGAAGATGATCGTATGGGTGCAGCTTCCGGCCTGAAAGTCCATTTCTACCACAAGGAAGTCCTAATATCTTTGGGCAACCTGATCGGCCAAACAATTAAACTAGATTATCATACTCTGAATCAACAGAGAGCGAAATTCGCCCGGATCGAGGTTGAGGTCGATATGTCAAAGCCTCTGGTTCCTAGGATCTATCTCGATGATGAGTGGCAGAAGGTGGTCTACGAGAATCTCCCGCTTGTGTGCTTCGAATGCAGCTTAATTGGGCACACCGGCGAGTCTTGTCCGACGGTCCACCGGGACCCTCTGGCCGGAATTCTCGCCATTGCCGACGGTCAGTCACCGAAACCTGTGATGGAGATCCCGCCGGAGCCGCAAGCAGGATTTGGGCCGTGGATGTTGGTCACCAAAAAGAGTAAGCGAAATCCGCGGGATGGACAGCGAAAAGGGAAAGCGGAGACTAATGGGGCGGAACTTCTGTAGGAGCGCCGAGCAAATATGGGAAGGGTCCCATTCGAATTAAGGAAAGCGAGGGATCGATCCCTTCTGCAAACCCAAGAATCTCTCCTCGCAACGGCCAACTTCTCTCGACAACAAAGGAAACTCGGCTTCCAGGAAAGGGAACGATGAAAGTGCGAAGGGCAAAGGGAAAGTGGGAATTGAAGAGGCTGATAAGGCGAAAGGACTTCTGGGCCCGGGCCCAGGAACGAGATCGGCGGCCAAGGGTAAAAGAACAAGTGAGGCAGGTCCTTGGGCCTCCACCTCCTCTGACCCGCCGCGAGGGCCAGATCAGCACAATAAAGGCCCGATGCTCGTATCCATCAGGGAAGCCACTCAAGTCCAGTTCTCGGTTGCTGCCAGCCCACCTCTCTCACTTCCAATCCAGTCCGTGAAAGGAGCTAATGGAACTGATATGCAAGTAATCGTCCTCTCCCCTTCCAAATCGACCCCGTCCCGTCCAAGGGGAAGCTCGCCATCGATGGATGGCCTGAAAGTCAAGAAGACCAAAGCAAATAAGAACGGCGCCAAAAAAGTCTCGCCGGTCAATTGAACCCGTGCAAACTTCTGCAGATATGGTCCCCGGTCAAGGAGAGGAAGTCCAAATGCAATTCGCGTATAGCCTCGCTCACCCTCCAGGATATTCAGGCTTGGACTGCAGCGGGGACTCCACCGATGAAGCTGCCGACAATCGAGGAAGAAACTTCTCCTATGGACGAAGCCACCTCTGTGACGGTGACGGGGAATTCCACAGAGCAATCCCCAACTTCCTGATTTGGTGAACTCGTGCCTTTTCCTTCGTTTTTATCCCTTATTTTTGTTTATGTCTATGTCTAACACTATTAAAATTCTCTCGTGGAATGTGGGTGGAGCTGGGAGTAAGGTTTTTGCCCGATCCTTGCGGCTTACAATCCAAACTCATAGACCTGATTTTCTTGTTTTACTTGAACCTCAGTTCAGCGGAAACACGACATATGTGGTGTGTGATAAGCTTGGATACCCGAATGTGATCAGAGTGGAAGTCGAGGGCAGAATGGGGGGCATCTGGGTCTTTTGGGATGCTGGCATGTTCCCAATTCAAATCATTTCTGCCTGTAGTCAGCATCTTTCTATGCGCATCTGCCAGGTAAATGCTAATCCTTGGGTTCTCACTGCTGTCTACCCCGCCCCCAGGCAAGGCCAACAGAAGGAGCTATGGGATAAACTCATTGTTCAAAGTCGTGAGCTGAATATTCCGTGGATCGTGACTGGGGATTTTAATGCCATCCGTACACCGGAAGAGAAGTCTGGGGCGGTGTCGGCTTCTACTACTCGCCGCTGTCACCGTTTTAATGACCAGATCAACGAGGCTGAGCTTATTGACCTCGGCTTCTCTGGTCCGTGTTTCACCTGGAATAGAGGCTCCCAGCAGGCAACCTACAAAGCTAGTCGCATTGACAGAAGCCTCTGCAATCTGGCATGGAACACTTCCTTCCCCAATACCTTGGTCCTTCACCTTCCTCGCCTCCACTCAGATCACAATCCGATTCTTACCTCGGTGGCCACCCAGGGGCATTCTACCTCTCGCTCTCGTTCCTTTATTTTTTAGGCTGCTTGGTTTACACATAATAATTTTATGGATTTTGTGGCAGGGCAATGGAAACAGGAGGAACTACAACCCGAGGCTCTTCGCGAGTTGGCCACCGCGTTGCAGGTGTGGAACACTAATGTTTTTGGGAATGTTCAGCAACGTAAACGTCGCCTGTTGGGGAGGCTTCGAAGCGTGGAGGCAAGACTGGCTTTCAGGTTCACACCTGGCCTGGCAAAATTGCACGCTAAGTTGGAAGCGGAACTTGACAAGGTGTTAGAGCAAGAGGAAATCATTTGGTTTCAACGAGCAAGGGAGAAATGGGTCAAGTTTGGAAAGCGAAATACCGCCTACTTCCACAACAGGCCAACATTAAGAGAAGACGCAACAAGATCAAAGCCTTACAAGACTCCAATGGAGTATGGGTAGATGATCCTACTTCATTGGCCCTTTTAGTCTTTGATTCTATTGCTAACCTCTATATGCAGGATAACCCTTCATATGAGGACTTGTTGCCTAAGAAGACCTTTTCTCAGTTGAGTCAGTCCGAGCTGCAATGCCTCCTTCGCCTTTTCACTATTCAGGATATCCATAAAGCAGTTTTTGACATGAAGCCCTACCAGGCACCCGGACCGGACGGATACCAGGCAGCTTTTTACCAGCAGTTATGACAGACAGTGGGGAAGAGCTTGACTGATATGGCTCTTTCGTTCTTCTCCACCGGCTCCCTGCCAGCTTCAGTCCTGGAGTCTACTCTTGTGCTTATTCCGAAAGTGGAAACGCCGGAGACGGTGATGCAGCTCCGACCCATTTTCCTGAACAATGTCAGTCTGAAGGCTATCACGAAGGCCATGACTAACCGGCTGAAACCGGTTATGAGAAATTTGATCTCCTCAAGACAAAGCAGTTTCATTCCTGGAGACAGACTACAGACAACATTATTGCAGTTCAGGAAATTCTGCACTCTTTCAGGAAAAAGAAGGGGAAGAAAGGAGGGATGATCTTCAAGATTGATCTAAAGAAGGCCTATGACAGACTCAGGTGGGATTTTGTTAGGGACACGCTGATGGAGATAGGTCTGCCGAGCTCATGGATCAACTGCATTATGTACTGTGTGGAGCAGAACCGGATGCGGGTGCTCTGGAATGGTTTTCTCTCTCAACCGATCATCCCAACCCGCGGTGTTCGTCAGGGAGACCCTCTATCCCCTTACCTCTTTGTCTTGTGTATGGAGCGTCTTTCGCATTTGATAGATAGAGCAGTTTTGGATAAACAGTGGAAACCGTTGAAACTTAACCAAAATGGCCCGCCTCTCACGCATCTCTTTTTTGCAGATGATCTTTTACTTTTTGCTGAAGCCGAGTCGAGACAGATCAGGACAATCAAGGCCTTCCTGGATGATTTTTGATTTAGCTCGGGGCAGAGGATCAACTACAACAAGTCGATGGTGCACATTTCTCCAAACATTCCCAGGTCCAAGGCGATGGCTCTGAGCCAAAGAGCTGATATTCCTCTCAAGACTGACTTAGGGAAGTATCTCGGCATTGAGGCCATTCCCGGGCGGGTCACGAAGACTAGGTTTCAAGGTTTGGTGATGCGTATCCAGAAAAAGCTAGCTCCCTGGAAAACTAGAAGACTCTCGCTGGCTGCTCGCCTCACTGTCGCCGGTTCGGTAACATCCTCCATACCTGTTTATCATATGAATACTAAGATGATTCCGAGTGCAGTGTGCAAAAGCATAGACAAGATCAATAGGGACTTCATCTGGGGCGAGGAGGAGAACCAACCTAAGATGCACTTGGTGGCTTGGGACAAGATGACTTCTCCAAACACTCAAGGAGGAGCTGGGCTTCGTTCCCTCAGACAAGCGAACCTGGCAATGCTGGCAAAGAATGCGTGGCGGCTCATAACGGACAGAGATGCCCTCTGGTCCAAGGTGATGCGGGCAAAGTATGGAAGACAGAGGGACGGGCTGGACATTCTAAGACCAATTCAGGGAAGTTCTTTTACCTGGCAGAGCTTTGCTAAAGCTTCCAGCCTTCTTCAGAAAGGTTGTGCGTGGAATATTAAGAATGGAAGGAGCACTAAATTTTGGCATGATATCTGGGTTTTGCAGGTACCCCTCAAGGAGGTTGCTCTTAGCCAGGTCCCAGAGGATCTTGAGGAAGCATGGGTAGCGGACTTCGTGGACCAGGATGGTAGATGGAGGACCGAGCTCTTCAACACGCTGCTGCCGATAGAGATCCAGCACAAAATCACCTCCATCGCAGTTGACACCTTATCCAGTGGGAATGACGAGCTGTTTTGGACGGCCTCGGCGGATGGGCATTTTTCGGCAAAGTCGGCCTACAACCTGCAAAACCAGGAATTCCAGGATCCGGACGAGAAGCTTTGGAGAACTATTTGGAGACTTCCGACTCCTGAGAGGATCAGGACGTTCATGTGGACAGTTCTCTTGGGGAAAATTGCCACGAACTCGCTTAGTTTTGCTAGGAAGTGCCCAGTTAACCCCTTATGCTCCAGATGCCAGGGAATTCCAGAGAACATTGTGCATATCCTTAGAGATTGCCGACCGGCGCGCTATTTTTGGACCCGTCAGATCCCGGGAGCAGAGCAGGGACGTTTTTTCAGCTTGGATCAGGATGCCTGGCTGTGTGAGAACATTGGTAAGGAAGATTCCACTGACATGGGGCCCTCCTGGGGGACTTTCTTCTGTATTGCAGCTTGGCTGATTTGGAAGAACAGGTGCACTACCTCTTTCAGGGGGGCGCAAGCGGCTCTTTCCCCTCCCTCGCTTGCTTTCTCCATCATGGCCAATGTCAAGCTTTGGCATGAGGCTTGGGCTGCCCCCTCTCCGATGCCAGGTAACCGACGCCAACCAGCAGATCGTGTCACAGCCAACATTGGCTGGAAATAACCCCCAGAAGGATGGATAGCTCTGAACATTGATGGTGCTTCGAGCGGGAACCCGGGTCAGGCCGGGGCTGGTGGTCTCCTTCGTGATGCTACAGGGAAGTGGATCGCCGACTTCACAGCCAGCATTGGGTCGGCGACCGCGGCTCTGGCCGAGTTATGGGCGTTCTCTTATGGACTTGATTTAGCTTGGAAAGAAGGATGTCGAGCTGTCATAGTGCAGTCTGACTCTCAGCTGGCCATTCAACTTCTTGAGAAGAGACACGATCCTGTCCATCCCTATTCTACTCTTCTTTTGGCCATTCGGAGGAAACTAAGCCTTGACTGGCTGGTGAGAATTTCTCATACTTACCGAGAAGGGAATAGAGCCGCGGACTGGCTCTCGAAGCACAGTCTCGTCTATCCCTACGGTATGCATGAGCTTGCTAACCCGCCATCAGGGCTAGTTCCCATTCTGCAGGATGATGTTAGGGGGTGTGTTTTGAGCGTCAGATTGTTCTGGGAACGCTTTCCTCTGCCCTCTCCTCTTAGTCCCCCCCTTCCTGCTCTTGTTCGGCGTTTTTCGCCTCCTCTAATGCCAAAAAAAGTGACGAATCAGATATTTTTTGCAGCTCTGCTCAAGCAAAGGCCAATTTGGCTAAAATTCAATTCCCCCACCACAAAATAATGGAAGAAGATGTTAGTGTTGTGGTATATGATCCACGATTGAACCTCTCCCAACAATTCGAGTTATTGGGATCAACTGGTTCTTGACATGGTATCAGAGCCTTCTGTGACCGAGATGTCTTGTGTTCGATTCTCGGCGACCCCCATTTGTTAAGCACGTGATATTCTTGTCTTCAGACCTGTGGAAACTTCAAACCCTTGTGAGTGGCTTTCGTTTGAGGGGGCGTGTTAGTGTTGTGGTATATGGGATCAACTGGTTCTGTCACACAGAAGATAGAACTACTATACCTTTCCCCCTCTCTCTCATTATGCTCGTCAGCTTTACTGTCAGATTTTCACACCAACAACTCGAGTTAAACAGTCCCTCTCTTTCCAATTCTTCCCTCCGCCAAAAATTTCAACGTATTTGGTAGCCAATGGCGGTGTTCTGGGAACCAAACTCCAAGACGAAGCTCCCCCTGGTTTTCAACGCGTTTTGTTCTGCAAAAAAGATATCCTTGCTTCCCGAGTCAACGATTTGACTATACACCATCATCGTTGTCATTATCATGAACGATCTGGATCATTAAGATGCTCTCTAGTCTCTTGGCAGACCATCTGCAGAAAGATCCCTGTACTAGACATGCATCAAGAAAGAAGATCAAAGAGCACACTAACAGAAGGGATCACAAATTCACAATCCAAGCTAGATACCTGCAAAAGGAGGAATTATAAAACCAACCCAACAGTGAATTCAGTGGGGAAATTCACAAAACAATGTAGCAATTTGAAAACAAAGGAGGTTGGAATTGGCGGTGGAGGGAAGTTGGGGCGAATGAAGCCTGGTCCGAGGTCATTCAATTTCTCCCATTGCTGAACAAATTAAAGAAACCCAGATACGTACAATGAATGGTCTCGAACCAGACAGCATTCCCCTCAACTGTATTGAGAATGTACAGTTGGATCAGTTACTGCCAGAAACAGAGGAAAACACACACACACAGAGAGAGAGAGAGAGAGAGACTGTTGGATTTTGATTTCCCCATGCAATGCTTCCTTTTTACATGGGCCCTTATATACAACTAGGAACTAACCCGCGCTCTGCCGCGGGGTACGTTGGATATGTGTCGTTAGTGTTAATGGGGATGTAGAACCGCGTGGTTTGCCAACCAACACTAAGCATTATCATTGCTGCACCAAGAATGATGACATCGATGATTACATGACAATAGGAGCGCATGGAATGTACTGGGGATGGTACATTTTGGCATATAGACGAATTTAAAAAACGAAAATTTATATCAATAAAAGGAAGATATAAGTACAAAGATGCTAGGTAAGAACACAAAACTGAGTTTCACAATTTAGCAGCTTAGCTAATCTGATGTTCTCTTCTAATAATCAAGTAAAATATTCGAAATCATAATGGTATGTTACAAAAGATTTGGGAAAACAGAGGGGAAAAAAAAACAACTTACAACACAACTTGCATACAACCTTAGAAGATCAACTCTCATGTCATACAGTGATATAACTAAGAAAGCTAACTTTATCACCAACTGCATACCATGCAGACGATTATCAAGTTCTCCATCCTAAAACTGCTACTCAGCATCTGGCGCTCCATCTTTCCGCTCTTCACCCACGTCCCACACCAGCACAGCTTGCATACAACCTTATGTGAGATGAGGTTGGCCCCTGCTGCCATTCCAAACAGCTTCACCCAATACTGCACCAAAATCAATAATATGAATAACCACATACTTCTTTAATTAAATTGCAGATCACTAAACCTTTAGTCCTCAAGCATCCTCTTCAGGCCCCTTCCTTCAAGTCTAAACTCATACTCATCATATCAATTCATGTATAAACTACAGTGGACTAAGACAGCATAAAGAGTACTCTTGAGCACCCCAAATAACTTTACCACAAATAGAATCCAAAAGCAATTTATAAACCACTGCCACCAAATGAAAAGAATAACAAAAGCTCTACATGGTAAAAAAAAAAAAAAGAGGATAGCTTTGAGTGCACAAACATTTAATCTGAAGGTTCGGAACTCATAAAATTCCACACTCCTGCCTCTTAAGAACCACCCGCAGCATGGTCCCTTGTAGATCCATCAAACATTGTTATATAGGAGAATCAGTGAGAACTTAAAAATATTTTCAATCATGATCATCACCATTTATGCACTTTCCACATGGCCAGTTGCTTGCACCTTGCTGTGTTTAAGGATAATTCAATTTTTCTTATCTACTAAGGCTACCTCCAAACCAAAAGCAACTAAGTGGAAGCTAGGAGGAAGCACGCAACATGTAACAGAAGAAACGAAGGAAATTTTCCAGGTATAACATGAAGTCACACACTTGATAGTTGCAATAGATTCCAAAGACTGGATTGTACTATCAACTGAACGAATAACATGATTTGGCAAACGATAATCCGCAAGTAAAGGCAAACAGTAAGTGCTTCACCAATCTTTTTGTCTAATACTTAATGGCCAACAAATCTACACATCCACAGCTTCAAATGGTTTTCGTAGACTCACCAAGAAATTCCTACAAAAATCCATGGGGAATACTTACTACATCATGAAAGCAAGCCTAGCTTGAGGTCTCTCTAATACTTAATGGCCAACAAATCTACACATCCACAGCTTCAAATGGTTTTCGTAGACTCACCAAGAAATTCCTACAAAAATCCATGGGGAATACTTACTACATCATGAAAGCAAGCCTAGCTTGAGGTCTCTTACAGAGAGCATTAACCACCACACTGGCTCATATTTATGTGGCTCAAGTGCTCAACCCTGTAGTCCGACAGGATCTCCGCCATCGACTCCTCATCTTCCCTGCTAACAACATAAAAAAACAAAGCAGGCAATTCAAGTTTCGATAGAATTTAGCTTGAGAAAGATGAGAATGATTGACCAAATACCTAGTCTCTTAATATCATGGGTAATGGTCAGCTTCTCTCATCACGTCAAATACCTAGCCAAAATCAATTCCACCCCGTAAATTTCAGAACAAATATTGTGCCTCCGATCTGTTCAATGATGGGCAACTGTGACTAGGGGTGAACAAACACACCCGCAAACCGACCCACCCGCCCAACCCGACCCAACCCACCCGTATTTATCGCTAAAACGAAGGTTTTGGGTTGGGTGAGGATTTTCTTTTGTACAACCCGCCTCTTTTGGGTTGGGTTTGGATTTTGGATTACACAACCCGTAGAACCCGACCCAACCCGTGTTCCAATTATTAGTATGAGTTCGTATAAAAAAAAATATATTTATGTCGTATATAGTCATACTTATGAGAAAATTAAGATATTTTGCCATGTTATTCTCTTAAGGTCTCCCTAATCTAATACATTGTTCGGCTTAAAGTTTAGACATAAATTTAATATAGCTATGAATCACGTGATTTTTTTTCTTGTGTACAATTTTAATAGAATAACATATTTTGGATGCGTTCATTTGTAACCTTTTTAGCCTATTTCAACAAATGTCATGAAAAAAACTAGACATAAGTTGAAGTAAATCAAATTTTATTAAAATTCAAACAACATTTGTGAATTTTGATACCTTTCTCCTTGGTTTATTCGTTTGAATTTTTAATTAGTTATAAAATATTTTTATGATGTAGAATAATTACATATTTTGTGTTGGGTTGGGTTTTTACTTAAAAATATCGTCAACCCGATCCAACCCAATTAGAAACAAACCGCCGGGTTTAGATTTTTTTGGATGGGTTTGGGTTTAATATTTCCCAAACCGTAGTGCATGGGTCGGGTGATTAAAATGTATAAACCCGGACCACCCGACCCATGTACACCCCTAACTGTGACGGGGAACGGTCCAACTGTGAATAATAGTGAAGGGATGAATAGTAGTGGTGGACGCCGCAGGTTTTGGCAGTTCCAAACGTTTCTTTCAGTCAAGATGGCGAGTTTATCGTCCTTTCTATCTTTACGTCCTCGTGAAGGTGGGAAAACACCTTTCAAAAACAAAAACCCATCAAACAATACAGAATTTCAGATCCGTGAACCCTCCCAACAGTACGCAGCAAAAACATCTCAATAGGGACAGAGGAGAAATAGTACCGGAAGCCAACATAGAAGACCCGAATCTTCTCGACATTCTCCACTACGCCTTAAGACAGTAGGTAGAAACTTCTTCCTCAACAATGATGTGACAATACTCTGTAGGTTGCAAAACACCATTCAAATTTGCAAAAACCCATCAAATAATGAAAGAGTAAAGAACAGAGCCTGGAAGTAAAGAGGAATAAACTAACAGCTCCTGATCTATACTTCCTCTCCTCTCCTCGGCTAAGCTAAATGTTTACTAATCTGCCAGGGTAATGCTAAAATCCCACTAAAAAAATTGGATCTGCCATGGCTCGCAGCAGACCTTTTGTTCCCATCCAGGAATGATTTGTAGCAAAAAAAAAAATTAAAATTTTGAAGGACATGATTAGGACAATCTAGCATTTTAGGTTTGCTGCAAAGTATGCCAGAGTTAAGAACAAAAAATCTAGGGAGCTATTACGAATGACATATCATTACTCACCCCATTGCACTCCTTACTCCTTAGCATGATATATAGTTCATGTAATCGTGGATAGCCATTCTTCAGCACCAATTTCTAGCAGAAGAATAAACGATCAATCAGGAGCAAAATTAGGAAAAATAAAAAGAGTAAAACAACTATGATCGTTGATATTTTGGACCTACCGAAACTGCATTTGCCACTGGGAAAAAGCCCACCAGCGAACCACGAAGTGCCATCCAGGAAAACAATGGTCGTGGTGGCTTTTCCCTGAAAGTGACGAAACAAATACTTAGAAGGAGAAAGAGGCAGAGTTAACAAATAATCTGGAGGCAGAGAGGAGGAATCACCCAACAAAAAAAAGCAAGTAAATCTGCGTCTCATAATTTTTTCGGGACCACGCATTTGCTTGCTTTGAGTTCCGCTGGTTTCTAGAAAACATATAAGGGAAAAGCATTATAACTAAGAATGAAAATATAGAAAACAAACCCTGAAGAGCAGAATCATCACATGGAAAAGCAGCGAACAAACTCTTCCAATCAGGAGATGAAACAGACCCTGACCTTGAGAGGATAAATCCGGGCAATCGTCTGGCCTCCCCTTCACAACATCCACGATGTAATTCATGGCCGAAAACCTATCCCGGTGATGGTGATCACGATGATGATGATGATGATGCTGCGATTTCCCCATCCGAATCCCGGCCAGGATCATCCTCTCTTGCAAATCAAGGACGTGATTGACCACCCCGGTCAGCAGTATGTCAATGAACCCGAAACCAAACAGGACAAACACAACGGCGAACGGCTTCGTACCAGGGGTTAAAGGAGCGATGTCGCCGTACCCGATTGTGCACATGGTGACGATGCAGAAATAGAGTGCGTCGACCACCGGGTGGGTCTCCGACCCGGAAAACTTGTCCCGGCTAAGCGAATAGATTATGACCCCGAGGGAGAGGTAGAGGGAGAGAAGGAAGATCGCTCGTCGGACGATGGAGCTTTTGGAATCGGAATTGGGTCGGGGCAACTGAGGGGTTTTGGTGGGTTTCAACTCGCGCATGACCACCATGGCCGCAGCTGTCTTGGAGCGCTGGAGTGATCGGATTATCCGGAGATGGGTCGTTGCGGGAGGGGAAGAATCGGGAGATGACGAAGGGGCGGCGGCGGAGGCGGGTGGGGCTCGATTTCATGGAAGATGAGGGGAGTGGAGAGAGGTTCAGGGAGAGAAGCGAAGGAGGAGAGCTCTGGGATTGGCTGGAGCTGCGGAATGGTAGAGAGGAACGGTTCATTTTCCATAGATGATGAGAAAGGAAGCTAATGGGGGGAGAAAAGAGAGCAGTAGTAGTTGGCTGGCTGGTGGGCGAAGAAGAGAGCTGCTGATTTGTGATTGAAGAATAGGAGTTTTTTCCAGAAATAGCACCTTTAAAAAAAAAAATTACAAAACTAGCACTCTTCCAAAACTAATTACAAAACTAGCACCTATTTTAATGAATCGCACCTTAGAGGTGCGATTTATAAATGAAACGCAGCCTTAGAATGCGTTTCCTTCATAAATCGCATCCCTAAGATGCGATTTCTATGGTAAAACGCATCCCCAAGATGCGTTCCAAGTTTGGTCGCCAGCGACCTTCTGGATCGCACGATTAAGATGCGATCTGACGGGCTGCAGCATAGCCACGTCAGCAATCCGCGCAACTGAGTGTGGATCGCACTGGTGAGGTGCGATTTCTCGCCTGGAGAATTGGAGCGTCAGTTTTCTGCGCGTTCAACGCATCGGGACGCGGGGATCGCATCTGGGGAATGCGATTTGGCGTGGATATCGCACCGGGGGGATGCGATTTCTACGGGGTAAAATTACCCTACCGCCCCCGAGGGGTGCGATCTGTTGGGTATAAATACCCCCCCTCCCCCTCTCATTTCTTCACTCCACACAACCCATTCTCCTTCTCTCTCTAGATATAATCTCTCTAAACCCTCCCCTCCCAAAAGCCTAGGAAATAAAAGTCTGTTGGTTGCGGCTAAGTCCGATCTGCCATCAGAAAATATTTCTTAGGTTTTTTCCTCAAAAACCCGCCGAGCCGAGCCGAAGCTCTGTCCGAATTACGCCGAAAAAATGGCCGATTGGTGGCAAGGAGAAGGAGTTTACGTCGATGAATTTCAAGCGGTATGTACTCATCATTCTGGTTTAATTTTTATTGTTGTTATAAGTTTTTTAATTAATCTATGTACTAACCTAGTTATTTTCTCGTAGGTTGGGGAGGGCGTCGATATATACAACCAAAGGTATTATCTCGAGCAAGGACCGGTGGATCCAACCGACTTGTACGACCAACCCAACCATCGGTCAAGGGATGTTTGGAACGATCACCCGGTACATACAATTCTTCACCATTTGTCCTTCTTTTATTTTGTTAATGTGCCTAGTGTAATATAAAATAAATTTATGTTTATTTTTTAATCGTGTTGGTGGTTTTCAATAATTTAATCGAATACATAGCGCCACTTACTTCGACTCTTTATAAAGAGATGCACGTCTAAGGAAATGGGGTTTTAAGCGATTATCATATCCTCCCATTACCTGGGAAAATCGGGTATTAAGAGATCCTCGGATCCCCCCTTTTTCTGTCAAAAAGACTGCGTTTCTAAGAAGATGTATACCTCTTCTAAGAGTCTAACGAGTGTTGCTTTGTATTCGATTAAATTATTTAAAACCACCAACACGATTAAATTATTTACCAAACATTTGAATATGTATGTTTCTACTTAAATTATTATTCATTAACAATGTTATTTATGTTAATTAATTAAATATGTTTGTTTTACGATAATATGTATGTACCTCTTTAAATTATTATTCATTGACAATGTTTTATGATAATATGAAATGTCTTTTTATGATAATAAAATTATGTTTTATGTTGCATAATTTAATTAAATTAATTTAGTTATACGAAAAAAAACCCTTACTAATAATAATTAACGTGTAAAATTTTCCTAGGAGTCACAAACAATAATCCGCTACAGGGGTACCACAAATGTGCTCCCATTCCACCCCGCTATCTTGCCATTTCTCAAAAGGGCACGGTTAGACTCGATTAGGCATTTTAACGGCATCCAAATCGATCGTCAACTCATCACCGCATTAGCCGAGAGATGGAGAAAGGAGACCCATTGTTTCAACTTTAGAGAAGGGGAGGCCACCATCACGCTAAAGGATGTCGCCATCCTAACCCATCTGCCCATCGACGGCAAACCGGTGTGCGTGAGTGATCATCCCCCCGAGGATTGTGACGGTATGCCCGGTTGGCAGCATTTCATCCACGGTCATTTGGGAGTGAAAGTACCGGTGAAGGGGCACGTTGATGCGACCGATCGCATGCCACCATTGAGGAAACACCAAGTCTCAATTACTTGGTTGACGAAGTATTTTAGAGATCATTACGAGAGTCATCCGCTTACGGAGGAAAGTCCGGAGGATGAGAAGGAGAGATATGCTCGTGTCTATCTCATAGGCATGATTGGAGGAGTGTTCTTCTCCAAGAAAGCAAGCAATCTCCTTAGTTGTGGATGGCTTAGGATCATCTTCAGTAGTTGGGAGGAGATGGGGGAGTATAGTTGGGCATCTGCATGCCTAGCTATCATCTACAACAACTTGTGCAATGCGTCGAACAAAGCCGTGAGGGAGGTTGGCGGCGCAATGTTCATCGTCCAATTTTGGGCTTGGGAGCATATGCCATGGCTTGCACCGGCCCAACGTCCAGACAGGGATTGGCCAATCGATCATCCCCTAAGAGGTGAAGCTTATGGAACAAGGTAAACTTCTCATACCCCATCATGTAGTCATAACACATTTTGTCTTGTGTTTTATCTTATTGTAGTTTCATTCTTGTCATATTAATAAGGTGGCTTGGACACACAACATGCGACAACCTTGCCCAACACAAGTTGGAGGAGTATCGGAGGAGGTTTGAGCGACTTTGGGAAGGAGAGGTAACTTCTATACAGCGATCCATTTATATTTGTTTTTTCATGGGACTACATGTATTTTTCTAATTAATTAATCTTACGTTACTCATTTCTATCTTATAGATCGTCTTCGATCCATACCCGGAGAACATCGTTCAATGGCATCTCCAGCAATTCCCCGGTCATATCGGGCAATGGTGCACGAGGGTTCCTCTAATTTGTTTTGGGACCGTGGAGTGGCACTTGCCGGATCGATGCCTCCGTCAGTTTGGTCGGGAGCAGTGCATTCCGTTGGAGGTCCCCGCAAGTCAAAGGGCCTTCCATGGCCGAGATGGTCGGCAAGGTACTCGCGATTGGCCGACGAAGTTGCAGGAATTCATCGCGATTTGGGAGAACCGACAACTACAGGATATTGTCACCCCAAATCAAGTGGGCCGAATGGGGTATCATGACCCGTACTTGGATCGATATCGGCAAACATCGGTTCGTTACATGACTCCGGAGGGTGCGGCCGATGGTGCATTAGTAAGTATAACCAGTCTAAGTATAGTATGATTTATTACTTGGTTCCTAAAATCTCTTTGTAACTTTTTTTGTTTTTTGTGATTTAGGTTGATGGAGTCGAGCGGATTAAAGATATTACTACCGGAAGAAATGAGTTGGGCAATGAAGATGTGGGCTACATCAGGAGGATTGCAAACGGTCTACTTGGCTGTATCAGAGCTCAGCGCCGAGATCATCGTAGATATCCACCTCGTGCCGCACCCCCAACACCTGAGGTACAACGTGATGTCCCCGCACCCCCACCACCCTACGAGAGAAAGCAGCCGAAGAGGGATCGGGAAAGGCCCATCGAGCCCGAGGTACAACCATTTGGGGGGTGGAGTGTGCCGCCCCCATTGGTTGTCACCCAAGGTGCCGGACCAAGTTCAACCCAAGGTGCCGGACCGAGTTCCACCCAAGCTCCCCGCCCGTCCTCCGCCCCATCTCCCCGCCCGACTTGGTCACAAGATGCCGGCCACAACGATCAATGGCAGAGCTCATACTACGATCCCCGCTCGACCTACCATCAATCCTCTCAGAGTTTCCACCAAGCCCCATTATCTCCCACCCCGCTCTCATACAACGATCCCCGCGGAGCATACTTCGATCCCCGCGGAGCATACTTTGATTCCCGGCTATCTCCCCGCCAAACATCATCTGGGACTTTTCATGATGGCTCCTCCACCACAGGCCAACACGAGTTCACCCCATGGAATCGACCTCCTCATCAGCAGTGGCCTCCCACTCCTCACCGTATGAGCGCCGATGTCGCCCGCTCGACCCCGGAAGTGCCGATTCCCCGCCGACATAGCACCGACGAGCGCCACACTACCTCGGCCGCTCCCCGCTTGCCACCTCCACCACCCATTGTTACTCCCGTCGGCAAGCGTACAAGGAGCAAGAAAACTGTGGGTTCCGCATCCGCTCGTGGACTTCCTTGATATGTATTTTGAGTTGATTTTTATCTCTATGTACTTTGAACTATTCCCTTTAATTCCATCAATCATATTTCGTTGATTTTCATCAAATTGTTATTATCATGATTCCTCTTGACTTGATATGATCCAAATTCGTTCAATCAACAATACACAATTAAATGCAACGTAAGAGTTACAAACTACTTGACGAATGATAATCGAAAATTACGTCGCATTAGCTGATTCCGGGACATCATCACCCGGATTTTGCGGGCCAATCGGTCCTGGACACCTTCGTTTATCATGTCCTGGAACTTTGCATACTGAACACCGTCTTGGGCCTCGTGGTGGTCTTCCACTTTGATCCATTTCATTCTGAATTCTCTTTTTCCTCGGGCGCCCCGGTTCACGCCTCTGTCCGAATGGCGGGACGATCAATTTCCCTTCGTACAGCGGCCAATAAGCTTCATCAGGCAATGCACGGAAACTCCGTCCGTAGGTGCTTTTGAGTGAGTCGATATTGAAGAATGGACTAACGAAGTGACGGGGGTCTTTGCTCCTCTTTTTAATTACGGCCATTGCATGAGAACAAGGCCATCCTCTCCCCTGATACTTCTGGCATGAGCACTCACCAACTTTGGTCCTGAAATTGACCAAAACTTCGTGACGGTGACCCCCCCGTCTACCATCCTCCCGATGTCCGGTCGTCACGCTATACTCACCAGTTGCCCGATTCATAACGGTTACACTATGTCGACTGCTCTTGCGATTGTCACTGTCCATTATTTCAGTGACTTTATAGGCATGGACCTTTCCTTGTGCCTCGTTTGTCCTTGCCCAGTGGAGACGGTTCACGAACCATGCATTCGTTTTCCAAAATGTCATCTCCACAATGGCAGAGATTGGCAATTGACGGACGGCCTTGTAGACAGAGTTGATACTCTCACTTGAGTTGGTTGTGGCAATACCCCATCTTTTGCCTCCATCTTTATGAAATGTCCACATGGATAGGTCGTGTCCATCCAGCCATTGTGCCCCTTCAGGGCATAACTCGCGCAGCTTTTGCAACTTCTCCTGAAATTTTTTCTCCTGGTATGCAACCGCTGAATAACACACAGAAAAGTCGTATGTTAGTCAATGATCCTCAATTTAGTACAATTTCAAACTGGCCGGTCGGATTCTCGTTAGACTCTTAGGAGAGGTATACATCTCCTTAGAAACACAGCCTGTTTGACAGAAAAAGGGGGGATCCGAAGATCGCTTAAAACCCGATTTTCCCAGGAAATGGGAGGACCATCATAATCGCTTAAAACCCCATTTCCTTAGGCATGCATCTCTTTAGAAAGAGTCTAACAAGTGCACCACTCCAGATATTACAAGATATTGTTAATTGAGAGCAATAGAGAGGTTACCAATCCACCACAAATTATCAGCTAGCTTCTTCCGTTTGAAATGATGGTTCCAGTTGCTTTTGAAGTGTCGTATGCACCACCTTTGGGACCAATTCCAGGCTGGATCCAGGCCTAAGATGGCTGCTCTGATGCCGGCGTGCCGATCAGAGATTATTGTCAGGTTCGTCCTCTTGGTGACGTGGATTTGGATTTGTCGGAAAAACCATCCATAGCTATCAGCATTCTCTCCCTCAACAATGGCGAAGGCTAAAGGAAAGACTTGTCTGTTTCCATCCGCCCCACTGGCAATCAGGAGAGTGCCCTTGTACTTGCCGGTAAGGAATGTACCATCCACAGTAATCACAGGGATACAAAAGCCAAAACCATCAATAGAAGGCTTGAATGCCCAAAACAGTCTGCGAAAATGGCGTTCGTTACCTGCCTCTGGGGGTTGTATCTCTTCATCTTGGTATCGAGGGGAGAACACAGTCCCAGGGTTAGACACCTCCAATGCCAGTATTAGTCTGGGAAGGAATGCATATGATTCTTCCCAATCACCATAGACGGCGGCCATAGCTTTCTGCTTTCCATGCCACGCCTTCTTATAGTTAATCATATAACCAAAACGACTTGCAATGTCAGCGATTATGACTTTCACCTTCAGATCCGGTTCAGCCTCAATCAGATGCTTGATAGCCGCAGCAACCACCCTGGATTTCAACTGTCGATGCCCTTGGGAAGTTATGGATGACACACATGTGTGTGTGTTGACCGCACGGGATATGACCCAGTGGCCGTGTCTCTTGCTGTTGATGGCCCGAATCCTAACATTGCACCCCTCGTGATGATTACGGCATCTGACTATGAGCCTTTTGGTGTTGGAATGAGTTGTGTCCCATTCAAAATGCCGAGTCATTGCTTCAGTCTCAAGGGCGTGCCGCACATCCTTCTTCGAGCCAAATTGTTGGCCCTTCGTAAACCCAGTGAGTGGGCCCCATATTGGGACCTCTGGCGGCTCCATGTCGCTGTCGACCATCCAATTGTCGTCTGGAATGTGATTGTAGTAGGGGACTGGTACACGGTCAGGAGCCACATCACCATCATTATCTGAACCCGAATCTGGTGCTGAATCATCAGCACCTTCAAGAGGGTCTGAGCTGTCTGCACTGACGTTGTTTTCTCCTTCTTCATCAGAGGGGTCGCTGACTGGTCCTGGTGTGGCAGCCTCCGTCTGATCCTGCTCATGAAAGGCACCTTCATCAGCTCCATAATGGTAGTTGTGAAAACTACCGCTGCCTGTCAGGAAGTTGTACTGGGCTTGGTTGGGGATGTCCGGTTGAACTTCTTCTTCATATGACGAGAACGATTGATGATGGCCTGCACCTTGCCCTCCATCTTGGTACTGAAAATAGGAATGAGGATCATGGTAACTTTGGTAGGGATGATCGTCATATAATTCACCTCCACCATGGATACCAGATGTTTGACCGTGTCCAGAATGACCTCCAACACTAACGGCTGGCTCGGTGTAAACGAACATCTCGGCTTTGGCCAATTTGTTGGACCTCAAGAATTCGAGCATGGAATCTACGTCATCTTGAGTGGTTATGGTATATTCCTCATGCCACAATGACCCAGTTGCTCTGTTTGGGTATCGGTACACCATACGATCTACCCTCCTCGTGCCATCCATGCAAGTAACGTCAGTGCATATTCGATGGAGGTCTTCAAGCTTCGGTCTGGTACCGACCGTTACTTTCTGAAAATTGCCACCGACGTAGGTGGCCCCCTTTCCGGTGTCTTCCGTGTAACCATTCCACCGTAAGCCAAGCAACAACTGACGGAATGCCATCTGCACACAAACAAACCATAGTTTTAGTTAATATCATAAAAATCACAAATCACAAATAACAATAAAAAGTAACACAAAATAAACTTACGAGTTAATGTTAATGCAATAAAAAGTAACACAAATTAAAGTTACGAGTTAATGTTAATGGCATAAAAAGTCACACAAAATAAAGTTACGAGTTAATGTTAATGGCATAAAAAGTAACACAAAATAAACTTACGAGTTAATCTTAATGGCAAACACACTAAATAAATATAGATATACAACAGAAAAATGAAAGAGAATGCGAGGGAGAATGAGAGGTGTGAAGAGTCTGTTTTCCGGCAAGTCTTATATAGGGGAAAAAATTGTGAAAACCGCACCTCTAGGGTGCGGTTTTAGTCTGCCATGCAACCCTACGTACATAATTCTCTGCATGGTGTCGGTAAATAATTGACACGTAAACCGCACCTGGGGGGTGCGATCTACCTGGTGAAATCGCACCTTGCAGATGCGGTTCATGTTTGGAGAAATAAATCGCATCACCAAGGTGCGGTTTAGGTAGGTCAGGCCTAAACCGCACCTCGGCCATGCGTTTCATGTAGGCCAGACATGAAAACGCATGGGCAAGGTGCGATTTAGGCCCACCAAATTAGATCGCACTCTCAAGGTGCGATTTATGTGTAAAACGCACCTGGGGGATGCGGTTTATGTGAAAATCGCACCTGGAGGGTGCGGTCAATATAAAAGGGTGCTAGTTTTGTAAATATTTTTGACAGGGTGCTAGTTTTGTAATTTTTTTTTTTAAAGGTGCTATTATTGGAAAAATCTCGAAGAATAGAGAGACGAAGAAGGAAGGGGAAAAGGTAGGGGTTAGGGAAAAGCAGAAAGGAAAAAGCTTCCTTTTGCTCCCTGACATCTCGAGACGCCCACCCTTTTTTTCCCCTAACAGAGTAGAGTCACCATCAGAAGAAGAAGGGAGTCTGCGAGAAAAGACAAGAGAGAGAGGGAAGGATCTCTAACCTGCTCCGTGGGCAACGCGCTCAGCTTCGCAAAGCACCACGCAGAAGATCCGGCCCAAGCTCAAAAAAACCGGAGAAAAATCGCCGGCCCAATTCCAACACACTGAGAAAACCAGTGGGGCCACGCACAGGGAAGCAACCAATTAGGGGAGACTGTACAGTAATTTTATGTCTAAATGAATAGTGTTTTCAGTGTATGTGTACAGTAGGTATGGTGTCTTTGGAAATAATGTTCTTTAATGTGTTAAAGTGAGAGTGGGATCTAATCAACGATCTCTTTTTTGAGACACAGTCATTATGAATAGCTTTGAAAAGCTATAATGAAATTCCTAATTAATTATCCAGTATTTTCCCATAATACGAAATTAAGATGGATAATTAATAAAAGGAATATTATGGAGACAATTAGAAATAATTATCTTAATAGATTATATTTTAATCATGGGAGTATTTATCTCTCTAATTAAAATATGACTTATTTCCAAAGAAAGAGGGAATATTCTGGGTTTTCTGCTCCTATAAATAGGAGACGCCCCAGACCCTCTAAACACACCTCAGAGAGAAGAAACACAAGAGAGAGTGAGATTCAAAGAGCTCCGGTTTTTCGCACAAAACCGCTGAGTAAATCAAGAGTGGCTGTTTTCCTGGAGGCGACCGGCTGATAGTCTGCTGTGCGAATAACGAGCCAGTGCCGCGAACGTCTTAAAGAGAGCGACCTAGTCCGCGACTCAGCCAGATCGGTAACCCTAATTTTTCTGTTCGATTTCTAACAATTTTAAGATGCTATGGTGCTGTTATGTTTACCGAACAGATTCAATTACCCATCTGGCTTCACAAAT